GATACAGAATAACCTTGAAAGGACATACAAAATAAAAATGATATAAGACTTATTTTAAAATATGGCACTAGGATGATTTAAAATTTTGGGCAAAAAGAGAAAGCCAAACCAGATAAAGAACAGATTAAAAGAATAACATTTTCAATGTGCATTATCAGTATAGGGAAAAGATGATTTATAAAAAAATGAACAAAATACACTGGGAGGCAATGTATGAAAGAGGCTGCCTGAAGGGTCAATAAACTAGGACAACATGTTCCATTTCAGATATAGTCAGGGGAATTACAACTAGAACACCAGTGATATACATTTTTTATATAACAAATTAGCATGGCTTTATCAAGAAGCCTGACAATGCAAGTTTTAGGAATATTGTAAGCATGTACTGAAAATATGCACAAAAAAAGGGAAAGGGATCAAGAGATGGGGAGGAGGAAGGAGAGAGGGGAAAGAGGATGAAGAAGGAATGAAGGTGTGTTATGTACAAGTTCCCAGAAAAATATAAATGCATACTGGACACATGTACTACTAAAAATGGCAATTTTTAATATATTAGTGACTTTAGAACTGTTTTCTATCATTCGACAACTTCAAGTTTCACATACCCTCTATAGAAAAGAATGTTTATCTTAACATTTTTTGAAATTGAAAACAGTGGCAACAAATTAAATCTTGGAGAAAAAAGAAACTGTAATAGAATTACACAGCAATTGTCTAAGAGGTTGAACTGGAGCCACATGGTGTTGGGACGGATGTATCTTAAAAACAGACCATTGTAGAATGAAAGAGAGTAAATCGCAGAAATTAGAAAACAATAATACTAGCAAACTCACACGCACAGCACTCTCGTCGGTTAGGGGGTGAGCACTGTGAAAGAAAAGCGTGAAAACACGAGTTGGCAAGCGACATGTTACTTTCAAAATAGGTGTTCCTCTGCTGGAGGAACTAAGGAGGAAGGAGGAAGGAGGGCCCGGAACTAAGAAGGGGCAAAAAGAAGGCCTTGGTGATTCCCTTTTCATTTTTCTTTTAAACAGTTGCCAAAGTGCTAATGCGTATTGAGTGCATGTGTGTGTGTGTGTGGGGGTATACAAACATTTGTACACATACAGCACAGTATAAGACATTGTTCTGTGGTATTCTACATTATTTTAAGAAGACAAGACTGTATGAGTAAAGCAAGATCAGATAAAACGCCTGCCCAGGAATGACGGAAATAATATTGCAGTTGCCAAAGCTGGGGCTGCAGCCCACACACACTCGGTTCAAGAATAAGGGTACCCGAAGCCAGCGTGCTTTACCCTGCGCTGGGCGCAGGGCCTTGCACTGCCCAGGGGCACTGTATTGCATGGTGGGAATGAGAAAAACATCTAGAATTCAAAGCTTTCTTCTCTGGCTTCAAATTTTCCCCATACTGCACAGGAGATTTTGCTTTGTAATGTAAGGGACTAGACATGGCTGTGGAAGGCAGGTGGCCACTTCTGCATAAGGAAAGATCTGAATAAGTGGAGCTGGGGAGTGGGGCGCTGGGTGAGGGGAGACCAAGGCAATTCTATGTAAGGCTATCAGCACATCCTATTAAATGATAATAGAACCTCTCCATCCTACTTAGGGAGAAAGCCCAGCTCTCCTCATGAATGATGTGGTTCGGAAGCCCAGCATGCACCAGGAAACCGATCTCTTTGAGACATCAGCTTTCAACTGGGCATCTGTAGTCATCCAAGTTAGCCATTTGCCTGTCCTAGGACCTGTTCCCCTTAAAAATGCCGTACTTATTCTTTAGCTTGGAAATATTCCAATTTATGATTTGGAGGACCATGGAGAATGACAAAGCTGATATTTAAGCCTCAAGCCAAGAAGGCTATGTAGACAAGATGCTAGTCTCTTAGGAAGGAGCCTATCCCCACGTGTCATCAGAGAGCAGCACCCATCCCTTGTCCGGGAATCCCAGTGGTCGCCATGGTACACAGGCATGAGGACAGATTCATGGCCCTAATGCTTGTGTCCTCCACAACTCATAGGTTGAAATCTTAACCCACAAGACAATGGTATTAAGAGGTGGGGCACTGAGGAAGTGCTCACTTCATGAGGTGCAGATCCACTCTCAGGAATGGATTTACAGGGTTTAGAAAAGAGGCTAAGGGAGCTGGTTTGCTTCTACCATTTGAGGACACAGTAAAAAGTCAGCCGTCTGCCACCTGGAAGAGTTCCCTCACAGCATGGTGATACCCTGACTATAGACTTTGTATCTTCAAAAACAGTTAATGAAGATAGAGATTTCTTTTGTTTATAAGACTCCAGTACAAGGCATCTATTTGATCAGCCAAAATGGTTCAAGACACCCTTCAATATCTTCAATATAACCGCTGCCTACGTCTAAAACCACTCTCCTTCTCTGCTTATCTTCCGGCCACTCTGGAAAGCCATCAATGTATACAAAAATATGTTTATATATATAAAAGAAGTCTTGTCCATATTATTATAAAAAAGAAAATGTAAAGAAAAAAACAATCGAAATGTCTCACGCTAATATCCTAAGTGAGAAAGCAAAAAAAGAAAAAGTCAAAACTTTGGACCCAGCTGAGCATGGTGGTGCATGCCTCACCAGCCCAGCACTCAGCAGGCTGAGCAGGAGCATCAGCGCAAGTTAAAGGCCAGCCTGGGCTACATCATCGAGTTCAAAACCAACCTGCACTACATAGCAACATCCTGTCTCAAGAATTTTTTTTTTTTGACTCATGAAGTGATTGAGATAAATTATGAAAATCTGCATGCAGTCATACATGTCTGTAATCCCAGGACTTGGGAGACTGAAGCAGGAGGATCACCATGTGTCTGAGGCCAACCTGAACTACATAGTGAGACCCTGCCTCAAAAACTCTAAATAAAAAAGAAAAAGAAAAGCTAGATTTATGAAAATTGACTTATCCTTTGAAATAATATTATAATTCAGAAATCATTCAAGATATTTTAAAGTGTAGGAGAAGAATAGTTTAGAAAATAAATGATAGAACATTATACTTATAAAATATGTGCTTAAAATAAATTCTACAGGAATTGCTCCTAACAATGATTACCCTTTGGGTGAAAGGACTGTACAAAGTTTTTCTTGTCTCATTCTTGTGTGTCTGTATTTCTAAGAAGTTTATTAAGTGATGTGTTACTGTTATAGGAAAGTTCTAGCCGCTTAGGAAAAGCATTATGTATGTGTACCCCGCACACCATGGTCCCCGGCCCCAGGGCACGCTGAGACCGCAATGGAGACTGGGCGTGGTGGCGCCCATCTGTAATGCCAGCACTTGGGAGGCTGAAAACAGGAGAATCACTATGAGTACTCTGTATGTAGTGAGACCTTGTACACCTATAGACCCTGTCCTAAGTACAGAAAAATAAAATGAATAAATACCCTTTATTCAGATAACCTTTCTTTTATCCATGTTATCTCATTTCCCCTAAGAAAACACTCAAGCTACAGCTCTTTGTAGACCACGGGGCCTCCGCTTAGTTTTGAGGGGGCGTCAATACTTGTGGTCAAAGTGTTTCCTAATAATCTTGGACCTGAAGCCTCTGGAAGCCAGGCCAGGATTCCTGGGTCCCACCTCCCCTGGGCCCTGCCCTGCTGGGTGGGTGTGGCTGCGCAGAGGGCAGGCGCGAGGTCTGCCTTACCTCTGTGCCCTCCCCTGCCCGGTGGCCCTCACTCCTGCTCCCTTTCTCCTCAGAAATAGAAAGATTCTATTTCTCAACTTGCCAGTCCTAACTCAAAGACTCTCCAGCCCGCAAGCCCCTGTGATGAACCCCCATCCTCCTGTGCACAAAGTGCAGCACTAGCTCCTTTCAGATTTGCCTTCTCACAAGTGACATCTAAAAGAAATCATTCTCAGGGGCCGGGGAGATAGCTCAGTAGAATAAGCGCCTGTCTGGTAAGCACAAGGTCCTGAGTTCAATCCCTGGTACTGAAAAAAAGCCCTGGGTTTGAGGCGAGGTTAGCCTTAAGGGCCAGTCAGGTAGCTCAGGTGCTTAGGCAGTCGCAGTGGCCGGGGTTCTATCCCCAGTGTGCCATGCACCCCACCCCGCTCCTGGGGCACGCTGAGCCCGCGATTGAGACTGGGCTTGGTGGCGTGCGCCTGTAATCCCCTCTCTTGGGAGGATGCAAAGAGGAGGATCAGTATGAGTCCGATCTACGATCTACATAGTAGGCCCTGTACCAAATACATAAAAAAAATTAAAAAACAAAAATCATTCTCTCCAGTAGAGGAGGAAGGGGCAGGGAAGTAGAGCGCGGAGATGGATAGAAAGAGGGCTCTCTTCTGGACTCAAGGAACGTAATTCTATGTCTATTTCCAAGGCTGTTTTCTTACCAAGCAATAAGGGGAAACAGTGAAGTAGAACACTGGCACTGTAATTCAACTGTATGAGTGGCTAAACTCAGTTTTAGGTTATGTTATTTGGAGAAGTCACCCTTGTAATGTTTTCCAAATAATGACTTTCGGTTAACTTTGGGAACACAAACTGTCGCTAAGGTTTAGATTGTTTGGGCTTTGTTTCTCTGAATTAAAATAATAAAGTGCAATTTTCAAGCAAATGAACTCCTTTTTCCAAATCTGTGCCACCAAAGTGGCCTTAGCAGCGGCAGTGCTACCTGGCTCGGCACTAGACTCCTACACCAGGGTCCTCATCCTCAGAAGCTTGCCTCCTGGGCTGGCGCTGGCACCCAGCTCTCTGAAGAGGCAAAGATCAAGAGCACAACTTTCCTTTCTCTGAGACACAGTTAGTTCTTCCTCTATTCCGGTGAATAGAACCAGAAAAGGGAACTCTTTGAGGCACAGTCTCTCCTCGGGTATAATAAACACCAGAAGCTTCCTCAGCACAAAGAACAGCAATGGCACCAGCAAAAATTCCAAAGGCATGGGGGACTTGGTCATGAAGCACCCCACCCCCTCCCTGATCGAGAAGATTAGCGCATCTGCCAGGAGACAGGGAGGGTCATAAAATGCAGGACTCACCATTTTTACTGAAGAGAGACACCGAGGCTGTACGCAGTGACCCCGAAGATGCTGGACTCTGGCCGTGAGTGTGCAAATTGACTCTGAAGAGTGCACTTCCTTTTCTGAGCTGTGTGGTCTGACCAGCCTTCACACTTCGCGCTGCAAGCCAGTATTTGCATGTTATCTCGGTGCTCCAAGCATTTGGATAGCTGGCCAGGTTTACCTTGCTGTTCTGTACTTTACTAACATGAAAACAGAAACAGGCACACCTTTGAAGCCTGAAAGATGGACTCCATGCTTTAAAAAAAGTATGTAGGGATTAAATTCTGTGTGGTTTGTTCATTTATATTTTAGGATATATACGTGTGTGTGTGTGTGTGTGTGTGTCCCTCTCTCCCGTCTTTCCTTTTTTTTATTTCCTTCTTCCCTATCTTCTCTCTGTGTCTGTCTCTGTCTCTGTGTCTGTCTCTGTCTCTGTCTCTGTTTCTCTCTCTCTCTCTCTCTCTCTCTCTCTCTCTCTCTCTCTCTCTCTTTGGTTTTTTGAGCCAAGCTCTCCCTTAGGTAGTTCAGACTGATCTTGATCTCACTATGTGCCCCAGGCTGGTCTTAAACGCCTAGTATCTTCCTGCCTCAGACCCCAAGCACTGAGATTGCAGGTATGTGCCGAGACCCTGGCTTGCTTTCACTTTCTTTGTTGGACCCATACTTAAATGTTAAAGTCGTTGACTTGGAGGAAACACTATTAATATAAATAGTTCTTCTTTTCAACTTTGCCGAGTTTTCTGAGATTTCCCTTTTGAGTACACAATATTTATGTTTAAAAAAAAAAAAGCACAATCTTGAAACATGAATAAAAGGATCATAATAATTTTAACCAACAACTCTATATTAAATCCTATATTACAGTATTTAAATGGTAGGAATATTTGTAAACTTATATGATGTCATCTAGTTCATTTATAAAATAAAGCTCATGTGCATCTAGGTCCGTGCAGTAATTTGGGGGTAATAGCTGTTAGTGTCAAACCTTTCCGCCTAGCACATTGTGAGCTAGCTAAGCTTCTCTTTGAGGGATTTTATTACATTCCAAGTGATCACGATTCCTGGTTATCCAGGGTATCTCTGAACACACTCTGATGCATGGATTTAGCTGCTGTATTTGGAATCCATAACCTAAAGCTACAGTTTGAGTCCAAGGGTCATCTTTGCCCATTTTATTTTATTTTATTTATTTATTTTTAATTTTTTTTTAAATTTTATTTGTGTGTGTGTGTGTGTGTGTGTGTGGCCAGCTCAGCCCACCAGGGGGCGGGGCTGCCTGGCATGTGGTGCTGGGGGATTGAACCGTGGTCCCTGGGCTTTGCTAAGCTTGTTCTAAGTAGGTGCTTTAGACCACTGAGCCATCTCACCAGCCCCAATCTTTGCCCATTTTAAAGGAAAGGCATCTGACTGCTTAGTTTTGACTCACAGTTTGCTGTATAGTGTTTATGGGGCCATGAAATTTCATTACTATACTTAATGCTGAGCTAATACTAATCACTACTGCTTCCTTAAAAGTTCTTTTTCAAGGAAAGATGTTTTTCATTATTTATTTCTAAAAATGAAAATATTTTTCAAAAATCAAGATGCCAGGGCAAGAAGCAAGTTCCGGAGCTAGAGAGACACAAGATAATTCCTCTGCAGCCTTTGGGTGCTACAACAAGGATGGCACTTGCCTGGCCGGAGTGTGGGGCAAGGGTGCGGCTAAGAATTCAGTCGTGCAGTCTCTGGCCAGTAATAAACCATGAGGGAAGGGGTGGGTGCAGCGGGAGGCCTGGAAAGGCAGGCATTCTTTGGTGCAGCTAGAAGCCTCTTATCTACTACCCGTCAGGCAGATCTTATCACAGTGCAGGTACAGGAGAGGGTTGACAGCAGTGTGCTCAGGTTGGCTGTGGCTTAAACTCACCTGGGAAACTGTTAAAACTAGCCCAGGTCCTGGGCTTCACCTCAGACCATTAAGTCAAAATCTTTGGAGTTTAGACCTAGGAGCTCAGAACTTTGTAAAGCTTGCCGAGTGATTCCAAAGTGTTGTCTACTTGAGAGTCTGTGCCCTAAAAGGGGAAGACAGTGATGTAGTAGTCACCTAGGGAGCGACAGATCAGCAGGCCAGACTTGGGCCTGGATACGGGTCCTGCGGTGCAGCACCCGCCTGGCAAGCGCAAGGTCCTCCTGAGTTTGATTCCCAGTATAGAAAAAGGGGTGGGGGGGTGGGGCACAGACTTGCAAGTTGAAGCAGTCCTCACTTCTGTCGCTGTTACCGCCAAGTTTATCAACACTATTTTATCACTACTATATAACTGCAGATCACCTTCAGGCTTGATTTACTCACTGTACAATTCAGTTGAAGTAAAATTACAGCATAAATTTGATAGTGTCTCAAACATATGCATTTCAGCAAAGACAAGAAAACCAATGGCTACAGTTCTCAATTATAACTAATAATCCACCCATATATTTCCATTTGAAGGGAGTTGTGTCACATTTAAAAAATATGTCCAATATTACATATATGTGTATTGTAGTACATAAATATACGTGTGTGTGTGTGTGTGTGTGTGTGTGTATTTCTTTTGAAATCAATTAAATATATAAGTCCCTGAGCAGGAAAGTAAAACGTGAAATACAATAAAGTTTACAGACAGTAAATACAGTGGTATCATTTCAAAAAGATGAAGCCTTGCTTTCACAGCATGGGCACTAAAATCATTCCTGCTCGTGGAAGGAAGAAGTAGCTCAAGGAATGCAAGGTGGGGATAGCTTTTGAAACACCAGGGCATATATATATATTTGATACATCTGTTATAAAAATTGTTTTTGATCAAGCCATGGCGAATGAACTTGCATTTTGGTGCTTACTATAGGTAGTGGCTGAGTGGAAACCGTGAGGTCTAGACCCTGGATGACAAAGGTAAACAATCTCTCTTTCTTTCTTTCTTTCTTTCTTTCTTTCTTTCTTTCTTTCTTTCTTTCTTTCTTTCTTTCTTTCTTCCTTCCTTCCTTCCTTCCTTCCTTCCTTCC